GTGTTTTGTTGTTGTTGTAGATCTTAAGGCTCTAATCGCATATTAAAATGAATCTTTATGTAGATTTGCTCAAAGGGTTTTGATAACGAAGTTATTAGAGAACATGGGTGAAGTTTTTGTGGTGAGAGCTTCACAATTTCTCCTACTTTTCCTTTTATTATGAAAGTTAGTGGAATTTATGCTCTATCGATTACCGCATTTCTTAGTTGTTGTTGTTGGAATGTGGCTTGTGGTGGTTAATTTTTTGAAATAGCAATTTAAATTTGTTTACACGTTTTTTCCTTATATACTTTTTCAAGATTATCTAAGAATTAAGGTTTTAATTTTAGATAAGGATTGTGCTTACAAACAAAACTTCAAATATTGTGTATAAAGAAATTTTTAGAAAATTATAAAAAAGTTAGTTTTTAATTTGTAATTTATTGTGTTATGTTTATTTATTTTTATTAGATTTATGTTATATTTAATTTTTCATATATCAATGTCATTTGCATGATTGATTGTGTGTTTTACATTTAATTCAAATTCATATATATATATATATATATATATATATATATATATATATATATATATATATATGGGAGATTTTAAATAATCAATATAAGTTTAAACAAAATTTATATCTTATAAATTTAATAAAATTTTATAAATCTTTGATTTTTCATTACCATATTTAATTAACAATATATTTTTTTTCTTACCCGTGGTTTCCACGGGTTGTAACCTAGTATGAAGTATGCAGTTGTTAATTATTCTTTCATTTGGTTCTTTGTTAATGGTTACTTGTTAGTTAATTGTGTTATTTAGTGTACATCAATTAAAAAAAATCAAGTATTAACAGTTTTCTGAAAAAACTTGCAAGACTTTCACAATATCTGGAACAACTATCGCCAATTGATTTGGATGCAACTACCGCTACGACTAATCATGTTATGGAGAACCGATCTCAAATTAAACTTGTTGATATGTGAAGTTTTACTTTCGGCCCCTCCGGTTCTGATGTTTGTGTTCCGCCCCTGCACACGCAACACATTTCATCTCGCAACTGTTTGTTTTTTAGAAGTCTTCGGAGTAAAAAACTTTTGCGCGTGTTCTGTTTGACGCAACACTTGTATTGCCTTTTCCAACCTCTTCTTCTTTTTTTCTTGCTGAAATCTTGATGAATCTTGATTATATGTTGCTAAAATCTTATTTCACCTTTTTTTCGTTTATTCCTGTTGATTTTTTTCGTTTTTTTATATTGAATAATGATAATTTCTTGATGAAATATCATTATTTTTTGCTAAAATATTTTTATTTTTTTGTTGAAATATCATTATTTTTTGCTGAAATATCATAAATTATTGCTGAAATGTCATACATTATTAAATTTTCGGTATTAAAAAACTATTTTCGGTTTATAAAATCAGTTTCTTTTAATTTTTTAATATCTGCAACAACATTTAGATGTCAAAAAAACAAACACGTTTCTTATTACAGTCTGCAGCCGTTTGGTTCACCTCTTCTACTGTAAAGGGTTGCATAGGTGGTGTAACATCCATAAAATTCGAGCCAATTTAAAACTTTTTAAATCATATAAAACCATTCTGTTATTACAATTTGTTTTCAAAATAGTTTAAACATCAGAGTTCCCATAAATCATAATCATAAATCGAGGAAGTGTACGGTCATGCCTTCGTCTTCCCGCAGCCATCCGCTGAAACTGTAAGCTCGAAGGCTTAGTGAGTTACCCCCAAAATACCAACCTCATACAACCATAAACATATCATATAACAAACACAGAACAACCATGCATCTCGAGTCTACAGTGTGACTGGTCCGCCCGCACTGGGCCTTCAGTCCACCTGGTCCACTCTCTGAGTCTACAGTATGACTGGACCACCCGCACCGGGCCTTCAGTCTATCTGGCCCACTCTCCGAGCCTCGGCACGTCTGGACCGCCCTCTCGGGGCCTTCAGCCTATCCGGACCCCTCGTCGGGCCTTCGGCCTAACTAGGTGCCCTCCTGGGCCTGCAGTCTATCCGGTCCGCCCTGGGTATGTTGGCCTACAGCAAGAAGCAGGACCCGCCTCAACCCAACCCCCATACCAATCAAACCATCATGTGCACATAAATATCATACGCTGGCATATATATAACAGATAATCATACCGATCTAACAGATCACTATCACAACAACCATCCTATAACCAGGATACCGACCTAACCGGTCACTAACATAACATCATCCTATATACCAGGATACCGACCTAAACCAGGTCACTAACATAATACCATCCTAACTACCAGGATGCATATCTAGCAGATCAATAACATATCAAATAAATACCCGGATACAAATCCGATAAAGGGCCGACCTTGGTGCCTTAGACCTTGTTGATATATTAAGAATAACTTACCTCGCAATGCCGATCTGAACTGAAGAACCGAACTTCCGAACCGCTATCTCACTGGAAATCCCGAACTATCACATAATAATACCAAGTCATTACACAATATCACAATCTTGACTAGGGGTCCACACAATCCATCATGTTCATTCTCTTTATTGGGCCAAGGCCCAATGCCAAGTCCATAACCTTGAAAGTCCTTATGCAAAGCCCATTATTGGCCCAATTTACCAAATTGGGCCCAACTCCCTAATTGGGCCTAATTCCAAGATCCATTATCAAAACTTGGCCCAAAACATAATATTCATAAAGTCCAGCAAAAGCCCAAATCCAACTAGTCCATAAACAGCCCAAAACCCAAAGCCCAATTGTCAAAGGCCCAACAAAGGACGTACGAGGGGCGTACTTGCCTGATGTTGACCACCATCGGGGTGGTTGACCCAGTACGCTGGGCGTACTGGATTTACGCAGGGCGTACGTGGGGTTTCACCAAAACCCTAATAAGTGCTTAGTGGCTTAAGAACTTAAGCCCAAACTCCAGATCCATCGACCAAATGTGCCATGGGACTATAAAGTCTCAAACTTTATCACTTTGGACGTCCATAAAGTTCTTAACACATGCTCTTAATCCATTAAGACCTTCCTACTTCATGCATGAGACAAATCTAGCTATTGCGACACCATTTTTATCACTTAGGACCTCTTCTAAGGTCTGAAAGGACAACTCATTTCATCCAAATCATAACATGCACCATTTTGGGACTTTTGGGACAAGAATGCTTCCATAAAGCTAAAATGACTAGATCTATCTCATACAAGAATAAAGTTCCAAGCTTTTTACTTTCTGGAGCTCCCAAAACAGATGATGAACTAAGATCTACAAGCCAATCTTCCCTTCATGGCTCCTTGATGCACAAGCTCCTTCTTAAAAGCACCAAAAACACACTTATAAGCTCAAGAAGGATCACTAAGAGGCTAGGGTTCTCTCAAGGCGGTTGAGGGAGGTGTGGAGGCTGAAAGAGATAGGAGGGTATGGTCCATAAGGTGCTTAAATATCATTAATACCCAATAGATAGTTGGATGTGTGCCTTCCGCCTTACTTCCTGTTCCTTGTTTGGTTGTGGGCTTAAGGCAGATTCACCCAATTAACTATCTAATCGATATTAGATTATATATAGCCAGTATAAACTAAGTGATTATAGAAGTAATCACTGTGGTCACCATTTTATTACAAGAAATAAGGGTTTTCTTAAAGAATCTTTTCATTCAAATACAAAGGAACTATTACATTTAACTCCGTGAGTACCAAAGGAATACACCAGGGTTATATACAATAAGGATCTAACAACCAATGGGGTGTGTGTCATCTGCCTCATTCCATGTTCCTTGTTTGGCTGTGGACTTAGGGCGGATACCCACAATCGATTGTTTGTTTACTCTGAGTTTTATGTAACTTGTATCCATTTAGTACACATAGAAAGGATTGTAGAGTCATTTTTACTTATCTTTCATCAAGGCAGGAAATGTAGGATTTCCTGGAGGAACAGGCGAACTTTTCTAAACAAAACTTACAACTTACTGCATCTTACTAAGCTTTCTACAACTACTTACATCACTAAAATCTTATGAACTCACCAGCTTAATTGCTGATCAACTCTTTCAAATAACTTGTATTCTCAGGAGCCTAGTAGACAGGTACTCGCACTGGGATTCAGAAGATGGAGCAGTATAGCTTCAAGTCTTGTTTGTTATTTGCTTATGTATTCTATGTTTTGTGAACACAACCTTTGTAAACACTTTCTTTCTAATGAAATGGTTGTTCCTTACTTTGCTTACTATGATACATGTCTTGTGATACTAAACATGACGTCCTCCACCCCAGAACGTTTCCGCCGTTCCGGTTTTGGGGTGTAACACCACGGAGCAGCACGAGGAGCACCTTCGAGAGATCCTGGGGTTTTGAGGTGAGAACGACTTTATGCCAAGTTCTCGAAGTGCGAGTTTTGGTTACGAGAGGTCCAGTTCCTTGGGCACCTCGTTAACCATGATGGGATTTTGGTCGACCCAGCCAAAATCGAGGCGGTGATGCAGTGGGAAGTTCCGAAATCCCCCTCATATATCATGAGCTTCTTGGGTTTGGCAGGGTACTACCAGAGATTCATTTAGGATTTCTCCAAGATTGCAGTACCCCTCACTCGTCTGATGAGGAAGGGGGTGAATTTCCGATGGGGCTCTGAGCAACAGTCAACATTTGAGACTCTTTGGCAGAGGTTATGTGAGGCCCCGATATTGACCCTCTGGGAGGGAATTGAGGATTTCGTGGTATTTTGTGATGCTTCCATCACTGGTTTGGGGGCAGTCCTTATGCAGAGAGGGCGGGTGATTGCTTATGCCTCGCGGCAGCTGAAGCCGCACAAGACGCGATATCCCACTTGGGGCAGTGGTTTTTGCCCTCAAGATTTGGAGGCACTATCTTTATGGGGTCCGTTGTATTATTTACACGGATCACAAGAGTTTGAGACATATTATGGATCAGCCGAACCTGAACATGAGGAAGCGCAGGTGGCTGGACGTAGTCAAGGATTATGATTGCGAGATCGTTTACCATATGGGTAAAGCGAATGTGGTGGCGGATGCTTTGAGCCGCAAGTCGGTTGGGCCTTCAGAGAGGGGGATGTGTATGAGGATATCAGTTGATTCCCCGCTCCTGGGTTTGATCAGGGCGACTCAGGCCGAGGGAGTTCGGAAGGAGAACTGGAAGCAAGAGAGAATCAGAGGTGAGATTGAGAGATTTTTCATGGATAGTAAAGGGCTATTGACCTGGTGTGGTCGGGTCTGAATTACTCAGTGATGCTTTTAGCTATAGAGAGAATTTGATTACAAGTTACTGATCTCAATGATGCTTTTAGGCTTTAGCTATAAGGCTTTATTTAATTACATAATTTACACTCATTGAATGAACATGTGCTTAGAGTTAGAAATTTAGGATGTTTTCATTTGATTCTCCTAATGTAGTAAACTAATGATTCTATTGATACTTTTAAATTACTTCGAATATTATATTTACATTTATCCATAAATATGTATCTTGCTTAGAAGTAAAACGGGGACTATTTTGTTTTCCTGTATTGAATCCTGATTTTTATGATGTTTAAATTGACTCAAAAATTATTATTATTATTATTATTATTATTATTATTTTTACTTTATTCTATTGAATGCATATATTTGCCCATATAAGATAATAGGATGGTTTTTTCATATATTTGCCCATATAAGATAATAGGATGGTTTTTCATCTGTTTTTAGTTTTAGCCACATTTTGTAATCATAAAGAATTGAGATTAGTGGCGACTCTAGAACAGAAAATCACGTGGTTCACTATTTAAATGAAACCGATATGATTAAAGAGTTAAAAAAATATTAATAGCGGGTCAGATCAGATAAGCAAAAATATATTTAAAATTCTTACAATTGTACCTGACTTGGTCTTATATCTTGAAATATTTCAGAATTGTATCATCATTAATAGTTTTTAAAACATATATATATATATATATATATATATATATATATATATATATATCATACATACTTATAAAGCTAACATTTTTTTCTTGAATCTCATGCATTTGAAACCCCCTTTTTTAACTTCCTCAAACCACATTCATTTGAAACCCCTTTTTTTTAACTAATGCAACTCAAAAGTTTTCTTAATTAACACTCAAAAGTTTTATAACTTATATTATATTTAATTAGCATTTAGTGAAAAGTTTACTATAAAAATGTCAATCTTTTGTGTTATATAAAATCTTACATGTAAGAATGATGTCATAAGAAAATGAAAAGAAAATTTTTCAATAGACACAATTCTTTTAGAACGTATTTGCAGTGATTGAGTCCCTAAAAGAGCTCTACAAGTCAAGGTTGTGGATGAATATATCATTTTTTACTCATAATTTGATCGTGATATATTTTTCCAGTAATATAAATGTGACCATTCAAAATCATTTGTTTAAAAATATTTTGTTTTCTCAAACCATACCATTCAAAATCATATGTTTAGAGACATTTTGTTTTCTTAAACCATATTGATTTGAAACATACATAACTTTTTATATTCCTTAATTAAAACCATTTATAGTATTTATAAATTTTCAATCATTTTTTTGCGTTATCTTATTATATATGTAGTTATATTAGTACATTTTTCTTACAAAATGTGGTCATTTGGTTGAAGATAGTGCGATTCAAAAGTTTTCATATAGTTACAGCATTCACGATCCAAATATGATGATTTGAAGAAATTGATTATGTCGCATCGATGGTAATTGTAATATGATTTTTTCTTTCAACCAAAACAAATGAAGCATTTCTATTCTTTCTTTATATTCAGTTTCTCATTTAATATTTATATGTGATTTGTGTGTATTACTCAATCTTGAAAGTGACTCTCCAAACATCAATGTTTTGCTTGGAATATCTTTATGATTCTTCTTTTTCAAGAAAAATATTTTGATTGCAGGTTAGTGAAGAACTGTCATCAAGTTTCTATGGTTGAATGGTGTTAAATGAATAATGAAGATTAAGAAAACGAATATAGGCTTTTTTGTTTGAGCAAAGTTGACGAATGTCAGTTTTTTCTTTTGATTAAAATGTATGTTTATGTAACATTTTTATTTATATATTCAACCACCCAATGCTCTTATTTATTTGATTGTAGTTTTTCTATTTTGATTATGTTTATTTTCTATTATTTTTTTTGTTGGGTTATCCTACACAACATATTTACAAGACAATGTTTAAAAGATAACATAATTTTTAACATTTGATATGTAATTATGATAGACTTATCATGATATGTTCTTCATATGAAAGTAATTTATCCATATTACTACGACAAGAATTACATATGACATTTACGAAAATATATATATTATATGTGATTTGTTTAACATGTATATGCACATATGTATGTTATAAATTTATAATTAAATATATTTATGTTTAATAATTGAAGGGATTAAAATGATCTACCAAAACCAACTATTTAGACGGATATAATAATAATAATAATAATAATAATAATAATAATAATAATAATAATAAATACACATTTCCAAAAGATATTGTGATTCAAAAGTTTTCATATAGTTGAAACATTCACGATTCAAATATGATGATTTGAAGAAATGGATTATGTCGCATCGATGGTAATTGTAATATGATTTTTTCTTTCAACCAAAACAAATGAAGCATTTATATTCTTTCTTTATATTCAGTTTCTCATTTAATATTTATATGTGATTTGTGTGTATTACTCAATCTTGAATGTGACTCTCCAAACATCAATGTTTTGCTTGAAATATTTTTCTGATTCTTCTTTTTCAAGAAAAAATATTTTGATTGCAGGTTAGTGAAGAATTGTCATCAAGTTTCTATGGTTGAATGGTGTTAAATGAAGAATGAAGATTCAGAAAACGGATATAGGCTTTTTTGTTTGAGCAAAGTTGACGAATGTTAGTTTTTTCTTTTGATTTAAACGTGTGTTTATGTAACATTTTTATTTATATATTCAACCACACAATGCTCTTATTTATTTGATTGTAGTTTTTCTATTTTGATATGTTTATTTTCTATTATTTTTTTGTTGGGTTATCATACACAACATATTTACAAGACAATATTTAAAAGATAACATAATTTTTAACATTTGATATGTAATCATGATAGACTTATCATGATATGTTCTTCATATGAAAGTAATTTATCCATATTACTATGACAAGAATTACATATGACATTTACGAAAATATATATATTATATGTGATTTGTTTAAAATGTATATGCACCTATGTATGTTATAAATTTATAATTAAATATCTTTATGTTTAATAATTGAAGGGATTAAAATGATCCATCAAAACCAACTATTTAGAAGAATATAATAATAATAATAATAATAATAATAATAACAACAATAATAATGGATACACATTTCCAAAAGATATTGTGATTCAAAAGTTTTCATATAGTTGAAGCATTCATGATCCAAATATGATGATTTGAAGAAATTGATTATGTCGCATCGATGGTAATTGTAATATGTTTTTTTCTTTCAACCAAAACAAATGAAGCATTTATATTCTTTCTTTATATTCAGTTTCTCATTTAATCTTTATATGTGATTTGTGTGTATTAATCAATCTTGAAAGTGACTCTCCAAACATCAATGTTTTGCTTGGAATATCTTTCTGATTCTTCTTTTTCAAAAAAATATTTTGATTGCAGGTTAGTGAAGAATTGTCATCAAGTTTCTATGGTTGAATGGTGTTAAATGAAGAATGAAGATTTAGAAAACGGATATAGGCTTTTTTGTTTGAGCAAAGTTGACGAATGTCAGTTTTTTCTTTTGATTTAAACGTATGTTTATGTACCATTTTTATTTATATATTCAACCACCCAATGCTCTTATTTATTTGATTGTAGTTTTTCTATTTTGATTATGTTTATTTTCTATTATTTTTTTGTTGGGTTATCCTACACAACATATTTACAAGACAATATTTAAAAGATAGCATAATTTTTAACATTTGATATGTAATTATGCTAGACTTATCATGATATGTTCTTCATATGAAAGTAATTTATCCATATTACTACGACAAGAATTACATATGACATTTATGAATATATATATATATATATATATATATATATATATATATGTGATTTGTTTAACATGTATATGCACCTATGTATGTTATAAATTTATAATTAAATATATTTATGTTTAATAATTGAAGGGATTAAAATGATCTATGAAAACCAACTATTTAGACGAATATAATAATAATAATAATAATAGATACACATTTCCAAAAGATATTGTGATTCAAAAGTTTTCATATAGTTGAAGCATTCACGATCCAAATATGATGATTTGAAGAAATGGATTATGTCGCATCGATGGTAATTGTAATATGATTTTTTTCTTTCAAACAAAACAAATGAAACATTTCTATTCTTTCTTTATATTCAGTTTCTCATTTAATCTTTATATGTAATTTGTGTACGTTACTCAATCTTGAATGTGACTCTCCAAACATCAATGTTTTGCTTGGAATATCTTTCTGATTCTTCTTTTTCAAGAAAAATATTTTGATTGCAGGTTAGTGAAAGAATTGTTATAAGTTTCTATTATAATATATCATAATATATACACATCCTACTGAGTTGGGTTATATTTAAACCCGTAGAAAAACCAAATCGGCCCATTATGTGTAAAACCGCCCCAACCCTAAAACCGACCCGTTTTTTCTATTTTTCTGTTTTATTTAATATTTATTATTAATTGGAGCAAAAATAACCGGTAACCCTAAATGTCTCGCATCGCAGATTTCTCAATTCTCCTCATCGACGAACACAGTGAATTCGTGAAGTGAGGAATATCGATCTCGATCTGTCAAATGTCAATGGAGCAATCGATTAAGCTGAAGTGAGTTGGTCTGCAAGCAACATCTCGATCCCTCTCAGTCTCAGGTTCCAGTCTCCAACTCGACATCTATCTTCGTTCAGGTGCAGTTCTCGACATCAATCTTCTGTTATTGCTTCTGATTTCTCGATTTCTCCATCTATTTTGCGTTTGCTTTCTGTTTGTCTTCTGTTTTGAGTTTGCGATCCGTTTGCTTTCTCGATTTCTCCATGTCGATTAATATGAAAGACGTTGGTGATTGATGGAACAATCTGATCGACTTGAGAAGCTTGTGGAAGTAATTTGAGCAGAGGTCAAAGTTTTAGAATTGGCGTAGGATGTAAGGTTAAGTTTTGATTTGTTATATATAGGATAGTATAATACATGAATAGAAGCCATGTAATACTTGTTCCTAAATTTATAATTATATATCATACAACATTCATGTTTCTTGTTTTGAATAGCTAACGTTTAAGTTCAATCTATTACTTAGCTTAAGACATATTAGAATTAATCCATCTTTAGTTCTTTACCTGCCTCCATTGCTCCACTGTTTGCTTTACTTACTGTTTGTATTAGAATATCTAACTTATCTAATAGAATTGATGTTTAATTTAGATGCATAGTTACCTTTTTGTCCATGGTTGTTAATCTCAATATATTCAAATCATTTTTCATTTCTTAAAGTAGGAAAAAAATGTTGTAATAGATAGAAAAACCGAAAGTAGAATGCTATAAGGCTGTGAAAGTATGTTGCTATTTGTATGCAGAAGTTTGCTTATAAAGTGGACTAATTTGTAGTTTATTTTGTTAATCAATAGATAATAGATGAAGATGATCACGAAAGCGGCAACAACGATCCTTTATTCCTTACTTAAAGATGGTGAAAAACGAGCCCTTGAAGACATCATAAACGATTTTTCTTCAAAAATCCCAAAATCAATGCATAATGAAATCTTATCAGCACTTGTCATGCTCTTGGATGACACCCACACCCCAAAATTCCTAAAATCCACAGAACGATTGGTTGCATTTGCATTACTTCACCACACATATTCCCCCCTAAAATCATCCTCCACCAATCCCTACCTTTCTTTGCTCACAAACACTGCAAATGACGAAAAAACCGATACTTTGGAACGTGCATTCATCCTTCATCTCTTATCCTCTCCATCTCCAGTGATGAAACTATCTCCGGCGGATTTCATTACCAAATTCGATCCTTCATCTCACCGGTTCCCGGAGCCGCCACCGCCGCCGCCGGAAAACCCCCATCCCAAACCGTTCAATTCCCTCCTCAAAAACACCGCTATAAAAAACACGATACCGGATCCCGACATCAGCTCGCCGGAGTTGGAGTTCCCGCCGCCAGAGACCATAACCGGTCTAATCCAAACTTTATCATTGGAAGCGCTCTACCCTCACTGGGCCCGCCCTACACCGCCTCGTCTCCCGGTGCTAGACGGTGAGCTCGTCTGGGTCAACCCTGAGTCGACTCACGAACCGCTTTGGGACACTGGGATGTGTGCCGACACGAGCCGTGGTGCAGCCGTCCGTGAACTAATCCTAAAAGCCCTAAAAGGCCCGTTAGCTCCATCTCAGCAGGAACAAGTTTTACTGGAGTTATCCTCCGACCCGAAACTGGTGTACCACTGCGGTCTAACACCACGGAAGCTGCCGGAGCTGGTGGAGAACAACCCTCTGATAGCGGTGGAGGTGCTGATTAAGCTGATGAACTCGCCGGAAATTTCAGAGTATTTTACGGTTCTGGTGAATATGGATATGAGTTTGCATTCCATGGAGGTGGTCAACCGGTTGACCACTGCGGTTGAACTGCCGACTGAGTTTGTCCACATGTACATAACCAATTGTATATCCTCGTGTGAGAATATTAAGGATAAGTACATGCAGAACCGGTTGGTGAGGCTCGTGTGTGTTTTTCTGCAGAGTTTGATCCGCAACAAGATTATTAATGTTCAAGATTTGTTTATTGAGGTTCAAGCCTTTTGTATCGAGTTTTCTAGGATCCGAGAAGCTGCAGGTTTGTTTCGCCTTCTTAAAACCTTGGAATAATAGTAATAATTCATAATTTCATATTCATGTTTTTTTTTGTCTGCATAAAGATTTGTATTTGTTGTGGTTTAGTAGGGATATAATGGATGTTTTGGGAATGAATCTTCAACTTAGTTTTTAATCAATGCCATGTGTAATATAATCAATCATATTATTATTAGCAAAATACTTGGACATCGGTACTATTGGTGATGAGGGTATTTATGTCTTTTGGACAATCAATAACAACTCTCTTTCCATCCCAACTTTGTTCTTGCCTTTTTGGGTTGCAATTTTGGCCAATTCAATGGATGCCAAATGCAGTGCCAACCTTATCAGGCAGGTATTCTGCTACCTATGTTTAAACGGGTTGAAAATTATTGAAACTGTATTCAAATACATAAAACCTAAAAAATGCTTTCTTAAAAAATAGTTAGATTCTCGTTCTAATAATATCATTTAACATGTCGATCATGATTAGTAGTCAAGGGAGGTAGGTGGCAATAAAGAAGGTAAATCACAAGATATTGTGATCACTAATTGGCAACATGCCAAATTAAAATGGAGATTACTAGGGTGGATCTCAGTGACAGAAGAACTGATTTGTCAAATTTTGTACTAGGAACCTACAACACATTTGCAAAATTTGAATAGTTTTTAAATTTTTCCTATTACAGCTTTGTACAGTGAAAAATCTACCAGTTATAGCAATGTCATCTAAATACAAATTGTAATTTGGTAGATTTTTAAAAGTGCAATGCCTTGAAAAGATTTTTCTTTTGAAACTGCAATGCTGTAATAGAAAGAAATGAAAGTACATTGCTGTAATGGGATAAAAATACCTTGAAACCAATTGTTTCATATGGTTCAGCAGCAGCAAAAAGAAGATAATGGTATCTTTTGTCTTAACAGGCTAAATGCAAAAAATAGCAATGTAATTTCTTTTATTTTATTGTTTATTTTTTTTTATTTTTTTACAACATTGTATATTGAAGAATATAGCAGTTATGATGACATTGGATGAATTTTTTTTTGATACCGATGTTGAACTATTTTGGTTTTCGATGTGGTGTGGCACCAAAATATCCATTTAAGTTCATAACATATAGTAGAAATTATGATGACATTGGGTGAAGTGTTTTTTGACCTTTAAGATAGGGTCCAACATTGGTGAATCTACTTAGACCGGACAATGTGGCTTTGGTTTGAGTCTCGGCGACCTCGGTGTTCACCGGACCCACCCCTCGGCAAGCCGAGCTCGGTTTGGCAATTCAATGCGGTGGAATTCTACCGAGTTTGACCGAGTGTAGTGGACCAACGGGGCAACGGCTCTTTATGGTTTATTTTTTTTATTTTTTTTTGTTTTAAATTCATATAAATACAACCTAACTCTCATTCATTTAACACATCAAAACCATCTTCTACTTCTTAAACATTTTCTTTAAAAATGTCGTCTTCATTGGGCATGTTTGATGCGTTGCTTGAAATGGCCATAAAGGTCATTTATGAGGCTGAACAGAAGATCGAAGAACTACGACAACAAAATACAGATAATGCGTGCTGGAGAAAAAGAATGTACATACACATCGTGTGGTGGCTAGTCAACAGTTCATGCAAGATTACTTTAACAAAAATGTGACGTTTCAAGGATATTACTTTCGTCGATGGTTCTGTATGCATGAACCTCTGTTTTTGCGTATCGTCAACGACGTTCAGATGCTATAGAGGTACAATTGGTTTTACTCCTTTACAAAAATGCACCGCCACACTTCGTCAATTAGTGTATGCCACTTCCTCTGATGCATTAGATGAGAATCATAGGATGTCCGAACGTACTGCACGATAAAGCCTTCACAAATTTTGTAAGCATGTCATGAGATTATATGGTCCATGATATCTGCGCCAACCTACTTCTAGTGACGTCCAACGGTTGTAGGATCATCATTCAAATCTGCACGGCTTCCCTGAAATGTTAGGAAGCCTAAATTGCCTCTATTGGGAATGAGACAATTGTCTGAATGCCCATCAAGGCCAATACACTCGAGACGATCATGGTTATCCAACTATCATACTTGAAGCGGTGGCCTCACAAGATTTGTGGATATAGTATGCATTCTTTGGTTCTGATGGTTTCTTCGATGGCATTAATGTTCTTAACATGTCTCCGTTATAACGAGACTGCACCAGATTGTTCCTTTCAAGTGTGTGGAATGTCGTATAGGAACGGGTATTATCTTGTGGATGAGATATATCCGGAACGTGCTTGTTTTGTGAAGTCATTGTCCTTTTTAAATGATCGCAAAAGGTAGAAGTTTAAGAGAGCTCAAGAGAAGGCGAGAAAGGATGTTGAACGAGCGTTTGGTGCTCTGAAAAAATGTTGACATATTCTTAAATATCTTACACCTCATATGGAGGAGAACAAAATGAGTGAGGTGATGTATACTTGTATCAAATTGCATAATATGATTCTTGAAGACGAAAGAAATGCAATATGTGAGTATAACAAAACGAGATCGTTCCACTGACACAAGTTTTTGAGGTTGGAAGCTAGGAGTACTTGGTGAGGAGGGCAATAATTCATGATGTTGCGACACATCATGTTCTTCGTAGAGACTTGATAAAACATATTTGGATCGTCAACCACATCGATCTTAACGCGAAACCGGTCGATGATTTAGACGGTTAATTTTCCGATGAAGATGTCCTTTAGGTATATGTAAGTTTGGTAATTTTGTTTTCTATGTTTTTATTTTTAAATTCTAAGTTTTTTTGGGGGGTTTGTTTGTAATTTTCGTTGAAGTTTAATGAAATTTTAGTTTTAAAATAAGACAAAACTGCACAAATGGTCCCTGTGGTTTGCTCAAAATTGCCACTTTGGTCCAAAAAAGTTTGGACTAACACCAGAGATCCAAATTTTTCATTTTGTTGCTTGTTTATTCCAATCTATTCTGATTTTTTTCAAAATGACGGATTTGCTCCTGTTAATATGATTTTTTTTTCTTAATTGTTTTTTCTGATTTTCAGATTTAAAAAAATAAAAAATAAATCTCTCTCTCTCTCTCTCTCTCTCTCTCTCTCTCTCTCTCCAAATACCCATCTTCTTCTTCCTGAAAATTGTCCAGGCGAACAGAAAAAACACCAAGAACAAAAAAACACCTAGAACAAATTGTTGAACACATCAATTCTCAATGGAGATGGAGAAAAGAGAATGAGAAATCATATCTAGGGTTAGTCTTCTCCATCTGTTTTCAGATATGTTCGTCTTCATTTGTTTTCATATCTGTTTGTGTTCTTCATCACTGTCAGGATCGATTTACAGCACCACCCCCTTCTCAGTTCATCTTCACCACCTGTGGCTCGATTTTCACTGTCACCGAAAAACCCACCGCAACCACACCCTCCAGTACCACGGTATCAGTAGACGAAATAGAGGGCATATCGAATAAGGGAGAAATAAGAAAATGAAATCAGAAGACGAAATCATGAAGACGAAATCAGATCGAGTTCGTGGGTTCTTCATCTGAACACACACACAGTGATCTGAAGACGAAACGAAGGAGGAAAAAACCCTGAATCGAAATCCGCTTCTCTACCTCATCTCTCCGACTATAGTCTTTAGTCGTGAGCTCATGTCTCCGATCTCCTCCTCATACAAGAACGGATCTGCACCAGTGAAGTCTGAAAACCTTCTTCAGATCTGTTGATCTGAAACCCCTCCTCCTCTTCATATCTAGTCATCCAACTTTCTTTCATCTATTTTATTCCTCTAAACAACCATCGAAGCATAAATCTAATTACACAAAATCAATTTCCAGATAAAGATGAGGGATGAACAACCAAGAATCGATTTCCAGAAATTTAGAACACGCACACACACTCTTAAATTGATTTCCATAAACACAAACACACACGATTTTAGTTTTTGATTCGAATTTAGGAATCTGATTCTTAAGTTACCCTTGAAAAAAAAACTCACAAATAATTTCCATTGAGTTATGATTTAGAAAAACCCAAATGAAAACGAGATTGGAAAGATACCCAAATGAGATATTTTCTTCAAAAGGAGAGAGAGAGAGAGAGAGAGAGAGAGAGAGAGAGAGAGAGAGAGAGAGAGAGAGAGAGAGAGAGAGAGAGAGAGAGAGAGAAATTTGGCTTTTTTAATTTTTAAAAATTTTTAATCAGAAAAATATTTAAATAAATAAAAAATGAAAAAATGAAAAAAGCAAGGGCAATATTGTCTTTATAAAAAAGTTCAAAGCAAATCGGACCAAACTCACAACAAAATGAAAAGTTTGGACCTCTGGTGCTAGTCCAAACATTTTTGGACCAAAGTGACAATTTTGAGCAAACCATAGGGACCATTTGTGCAGTTTTGTCTTAAAATAATTTGGTTAAATCGATTATTTTTAATATAAATTAATTATAGAAAAAAAAGTAGCATGTCAAGCGTGGCAACCCAAGTTATATAAATGACAATTTTTTGTTGCAGTGTGACAAATTTGATGTGACATCTTCATAGACCGTGACAAACTTGACACTACTCCCTTCAGAATCAACAAAAGAAAAAATCTAAAAAGTAAATCCAAACTTTGGATCATTAAGTCGAAGAGCTTGATACATGGGATAGATGTGTCTAGAAAATAGTGATACTTTGTGGGCATCTTAAGGAATTCTCTGGATCAACTTTAGCCTTGATTCGTATCTTCTTAAAAACGGGGATGATGGCTACAAAGGGGTGGATGCATATGGGGTTGGAAAACCCCCTGGGTGGAAGGAGTAAGGATGGTGGTTTGATGTGTTTATGAGTTTGATCTACTGCAACTCTTTTTTTTTTAATTATAACTTGAAGCATGCATAAAAAATCTCAAATATAAGTAGATACATATAACACAAAATCTAGTGATTAACTAGAATGTAACTAAAATGAATTTAATTCTTAATACAGTAAAATTAAAAGTTAAGAAAACTAACAATGTAGTAAACTGCGAATGTAAAAGGCTCAAACGTTAAGAAGTTTATTACAATCCATTGTCATTATTGTTCGAGATGCTTGAATCTTAAGTATAGTCCTGCTCAACAAAAAATGTTAAAAACTTGACTTTATATGATCACGCAGAGTTTAAGCATTATATGCTACCGGGTTGATACCGGGTCATAGACGGATCAGTTTTGGGTCGGATCGAGTAGAGACGACCCACATG